TACAGATCGTTACACCTGGAGTTGTTCAGGATGGTGACCTGCACTTCCCGGAGGTGGAAGGGTGGCTGGAGTTCTGGGGGTGGAGCAGAGACAACACAGCATGAGCCTCCGGCCCCAGAAGGAGGAGACAGCCTGTCCCGTGGGGGTGTCCCTGGGGATCACCTCACACAGTTGTGACTCACGGTGTCACAGAAGAATGGACAGGCTTGACCTTCACAAAAGCCCAGGTAGGAAGGGCTAAGGAGGTGCTTTGGGCCGTAGGGACACAGAGGAGAGGGTACATCAGGCTGAGACGGAAGACGCCCATCAGGGAAAAACTCAAAAGTCTTATAAAGAAACAAGGAGAGCGGGTAAAGGTCACTACGCAGCTGAACGTAAAACGTGGCAGCACTGGAGTTTTGGTTTCTGATTTTGGTTTTGGTTTTTGGAGCAGTACTGGGCAGAGTACACTTGAACCACCTCTTAATCTCCCACCCCCCCTTTTTGAGACAGGATCTTGCTGTGTAGCCTGAGGTGGCCTCCAAATTTCCATCTTCCTGCATCTGCTTTCTCAGTGCTGGGATTACAGGTGTGGGTTACCAGGCCTGGCTACCAAAGTGTTTGTAGAGTTTTCTTGGCCATTTGTTCTTTGTGTTGCTGCAACTTATATGTCCTCTGCGTTTTCTGATAATGCGCTACAGCCCAGGGTGAGCGGAGAAGGAAAGAACTCAGTTGGCTGCTCCTGCTGCCTGCGGTGAGCTAATCAGCCTCTAATCTCTGAGCTGAGCTGGAGTGGATATCGTGTCGTTGGTGTAGACACCAGGCTTCCTGGGCCGACCTCTGGTCTTTAACCAAAAACTCCCAAGATTTAAAACAAAATTTAGCTGAAGGTACTGGGATTATGAGGTTCCAGGTTCAACCCAGAGCACTGAGAAAGCAAGAAGAGACCAAGGCACGGAAAACAATTGTAAGTTCCCAGCAGTTTACAATGTGTAAGGGCATAAACTGCAATAGCTCCCGGCACAGCTGGCTCACACCTATAATCACAGCTACTGGGCAGGCGGAGCTGTGCGGGTCAAGGTTTGAAAACACCTAGGGCAGAATAAGCTAGTGAGGCTCTTTTTTGTTTTTTTGCAGGGCTGGGGGGGTAGAGGCAGTCATAGGACTTGAACTTGGGCCTTGGGCGCTGTCCTGAGCTCTTTTTGCTTAAGGTTACTGTTTTCTGTTACTTCCAGTTTTCTGGTGGTTTATTGGAGCTGAGAGTCTCATTATCTTTCCTGCCTGGGCTGACTTTGAACCGAGATCCTCAGATCTCAACCTCCTGAGTAGCTAGGATGACAGGCGTGAGCCACCAGCACCCAACCCTGTAAGACTCTCATCTCCAATTAGCAGCCATAAAAGCCACAAAGGAAGGTGGCAGAGCACCAACCTTGAGTAAAAAAGCTAAGGGACAGCACCTAGACCCTGGGTTCAAGCCCCAGAACCAGCACACAGAAACCAGTCATGAATGGACAAAGAAATAATGGTGTCCAGAAACTGTGCTGTGAGTAGAAAGTTATTCTGAATGCAGGGCTGCATGCGTGTGAAATGCACAGGGGAGCAGAATCCGGAGGTTGG